GTTTTCAGAGAACTATCCACGATAACTCCAAGATCTCTTTCCTGATTTGTCGTAGCCAAATTAGCCCCCATCATACTGTACGTATAGTTGGGGTTATTTTTCCCGATGTGCATTACTTTACACTTATCCACATTAAATTTCATTTGCCATTTTGTTGCCCAATCACTCAGTTTGGTGAGATCTTCTTGGAGTCCCTCACAGTCTGCTTCTGTCTTGACTATCCTAAACAGTTTGGTATCATCTGCAAACTTTACTACCTCACTGCTTACCCCTTTCTCCAGATCATTTATGAATAAGTTGAAAAGGATTGGTCCCAGGACTGACCCTTGGGGTACACCACTAGTTACCCCTCTCCAATCTGAAAATTTACCATTTATTCCTACCCTTTGTTTCCTGTCTCAATCCAAGAAAGGACCTTCCCTCTTATCCCATGGCCATGTTATTTACACGAGAGCCTTTGGTGAGGGACCTTGTCAAAGGCTTTCTGAAAATCCAAGTATACTATATCTACTGGATCCCCCTTGTCCGCATGTTTGTTAACCCCTTCAAAGAACTCTAATAGATTAGTAAGACAGGATTTCCCTTTACAGAAACCATGTTGACTTTTGTCCAACAAATTATGTTCTTCTACATGCTTCACAATTTTATTCTTTACTATTGTTTCGACTAATTTGTTTTTAAACCTGCTACCTATTAATTTCATTTGGTGACCCGTTAGTTCTTGTGTTATGGGAAGAAGTAAACAACTTTTCCTTATTCACTTTCTCCACACCAGTCATGATTTAATGGACCTCTATCCTATCCCCCCTTAGTCCTCTCTTTTCCAAGCTGAAAACTCCCAGTCTTATTAATCTCTTCTCCTAACGCAGCCATTCCAATAGCCCTAATCATTTCTGCTGCCCTTCTCTGAACTTCTTCTAATGCCAAAATCTCTTTGAGATAAGACTACCACACCTGCAAACAGTATTCAATATGTGGACATACCATGGTTTTATAAAGAGGCAAAACAATTTTCTCTCATCTTATTCTTTATAGCTTTCATAATGATTCCTAACAGTATTTGCTTTTTTAACTGCTGCTGCACATTGAGTGGGTGTTTTCAGAGAACAATCCACAATGGCTCCAAAATATCTCTCGAGTGGTAACAGCTAATTTAGTCCCCATAATTTTAGATAGATAGAATTACGTTTTCCAATGTGCACTATTTTGCATTTATCAACATGAAAATTCATCTGCCTTTTTGTTGTCCAGTAACTTAGGTTGTGTCCAGACTCAGGGTTTTTTTTTTGAAAAAAGTAGCCTTTTTTCGAAAAAACTTCATCTGCGTCTAGACTGCAGCCGCGTTCTTTCGAAATTAAATCGAAAGAACGCAGCTTTTCTTTCGACGGCGGTAAACCTAATTCCACGAGGAAGAACGCCTTTTTTCGAAAGTGCTCTTTCGAAAAAAGGCGTTCTTGAAAGCAAACAGGGCTTTTTAGAAAGAGAGCATCCAGACTCACTTGCTGATTTCTTTCGAAAAAGCGGCTTGCTTTTTTGAAAGTTCCGCATGCAGTCTAGACGCTCTCTTTTGAAAGAGGCTTTTTCGAAAGAGGCTTGCAGTCTAGACATAGCCTAAGTTTTGTGAGATCCTTTGCAGGAAGGCCCAGCTGGGGAAGGCAAGGTGAAGCTCCGCCCCTTCCCCAAGACCATGCCCCTTCACAGCAACTACCCGCCCCCTCCCCAGCTCCTCCCAACGGCAGCTCAGGGCCGGGGCTGCAGGGTGGCATGGCCCCAGCCCTTACCTGCCCCAACTCCCGGGCTGCCCCATGCCATGGCCCCAACACACACGCCTACGCTGCTAGGGAGTGGACTGCCGCACAGTACAACCCCAACCCCTCCAGGGCAGGTGAGCAGTACAGGCAGTTTTGGAAAGGAAAAGCCGTCCCTGGCCTACATGACCCAAGATCCATGTTTGAAGCTCTATACAGTCTGCTTTGGATTTACCTATCTTGAACAATTTTGTATCATCTGCAAAGTTTGCCACTTCACTGTTTACCTCATTCTCAAGATCCTTTATGAATATGTTGAATAGGATTGGTCCCAGTATGGACCCCTGAGGGACACCACTGGTAATCTCTCTCTCCATTCTGAAAACTGACCATTTATTCCTACCCTTTGTTTCCTGTCTTTTAATCAGTTATCAATCCATACCCCATGACATCTTACTTTGCTTAAGAGCCTTTGGTGAGGGGCCTTCTCAAAGGCTTTCTGGAACTCTAAGTACATTATATTCAACGGCTTCCTCTTGTTCACATGCTTGTTGATCCCCTCAAAGAACTATGGTAGATTGGTTGAGGCATGTTTTCCCTTTGCAGAAACCATGTTGACTCCCCCCCCCCACCCTCTCCGCCCAACAAATTACATTAATCTATATAGCTGACAATTCTGTTCTTTACTATGGTTTCAACCAGTTTGCCCACTACTGAAGTTATACTAACTGGCCTGTAATTGCCAGGATCACATCTAGAGCCCTTTTAAAACACTGGTGTCACATTAGCTATCCTCCCGTCATTTGGTACAAAAGACAGTTTAAAGGATAGATTGCAAACCATAATTAGTAGTTCCGAAATTTCACATATGAATTTTCAAAATTCTTGAGTGAATACCATCTGGTCCTGGTGACTTATTACTGTTTAGTTTATCAGTTTGTTCCAAAACCTCCTCTAATGACACCTCAATCTGGGACAGTTCCTCAGATTTGTCACCTAAAATGAATGACTCAAGTTTGGGAATCTCTCGCATCCTCAGCCGTGAAGACCAATGCAAATAATTCATTTAATTTCTCCGCAATGACATTATCGTCCTTGAGACTCCTTTAGCATCTTGATCATCCTCCGCTTCTGCAAATATTTCTCCATAAACATAAACAGATTGATACAAGACAAGCTGTTTTACACACGGTATATGCAATTCAAGTATAGTCTGTTCTCTTTCAGGCAACACAAAATGCACATTAATAGTCAGATGCAATTCTGTGGTTTGTAAATGAAAGAACCTAAACTAACCAAGAATGGAAACCTAAAATCTTTAGCCAGTGCTAGAATTTACAATTCATATCAAGAAATAACACCTATTTCTCAGACATATTTCTAGAAGGACTGATGCATAATTGCCAGTTGGTCATGACATCAGTTCACTCATGTCAGCTTACAACAGATTGAGAACTGCTCGTAAGTCCCAAGTGCCCATCTCACTTTCAGGGCAGTATTTTCATAGCCTCTTCTTTCTATGGATTGAAATAATTTAGGTTCTTTCTGAAAACAAAAAGCAGCCCAAAAGCAGGCAGTGGGAAAAAGGGATGCAATGCCTATCTGGAACAAATGCATGCTGCCAAATTCAGGGGCTGGTATCATGAAGAGTGGAAATGCATAGCTAAGAGCTTCCCCCATGTACAAATTAGTACAAGATTTTGTTTTAAAACAATTTGTCTATCAAAAAGGAAAGAAACATTAGTTCCTGAATTCCCAACTAAGGCCATGCTATATTGTATATTTCTATAGTCCTGTGAAGTCAAACAAGACTTTCTGCCTTTAAAATAATTATGGCAAATAGGAGGATCGCTGCTTGCTATGGAGGGACTTGCAATCTTCAGATACAGCTTACAGAGAGTCCATGAACCCCTTGTTCACACTCTTCACAAAAGGATTCACAAACACTCAAAAGAAACAAATGCCACACTACCAACATTTAAAACATTGCTGCTATCTTGAATGTGAATCTCATCCCAGAGTAGAAACTGTAAAGTTTCAAGTGCCTCTATGTGATAAACTTTGCTTTTTCAAGTATTCCAACCTGCTGTCCATGAACAGCCACTATAGTCATCAAGACATTAAGAACTCTCCTTAACTGTCAGGGCCTAGCATGTGTGCCATGCTGTCTACTACAGTGAGTTGTGAAAACAATTTGTGACAGAAATGAAAATGCAACAACACACAGGGTAAAGTTTGGGACATTTATAAGTAAAGCCCTACTTAACTTGCAATATTGCGGAAATAGCTGATTCTGCGATATTAGGCTTTCATTGCAATTCTGAAAGCAGGGGCCCTTGCTCTCAGCCCTATGCTCCTAGCAGCAGAAAATCATGGAAAGTAACAGACTTTATTTCTGCAAATAAGGTCCATTATTACTTTTTCAGTTTTCCGTGTCCTGTCTGCAACTCGGTCACAATTTTTGCACAATCAACCTGCAATTCAAGTAGGACCTTATTTATGGGCCTAATGCACAGAGTACAGCCCTCTACAAATATTATTTAAATACCTTACATTTTATATTGTTGGCAATATTTGACTTTCAGAATAAAGCAGAAGGATACTACATATAAAATTTCCAATATCAACCCTGGTGTTGCCAAAGGTTTAAAAATGATGAACCAGAACTTACAAAGTGGCTGCAAACCTGCTTTCAATTCCTCATATGTCAACGTTGGGTTTCTACTTTTTATTTTTAGTATTACTGATGTAAAGTCAAAAACTTCATAAAAAAGTTTAGTTTCAATCAGTATCAATCCACTATTTAGAAACAAAAAAAAGAAAGAAAAAGACTTATGAAGAAGTCTGAAAACAAGACCGACCTACACCCTGGGTGAGATTGGATGGGTTAAGTGTCTCTGGCACTATTTGTCTTCACTATTGACAGACACTGTCACAACCCACCACACGATGCCTGTCTCTGAATGGCGGAGCTAGAATGCAAGTTAAGTATTAATAGAGAAAACAACTAGCATCCCAGCAAATATAATCAAACAATCCAATTCACCAATTATTAAAAATGTCACAAAGATTCAAGATAGGCTAATCATTTTAATTTACATTAAGCCCCAAACAGTTTCAATTCCCTTACATTCCCATGCTGAAACGAGAAGTACTATGTACCTAGATTATACACATCATTCAATCTGCTTTTATATAAACAACCACCAATTATTTACACAGTTAAGAGATATAAAACTAGTAATTTCTTACCTGGAACTTTTTGTTAGTGATTCTCCTCCACCAATTCAGTTTAGTAGGTTTTCCCACTCAGAGTTGTGTCAGAGGCAATCAAGCAAGCCATGCAGAATTCTACGCCTCCTCAGCTGCTCTTTTCCAGCTCTCGCCTTTCCTTTCCCCAACTTCCTGACATAGCCAAGCCATCTTAAAATGAATAATTTTGTAATGTCTTAACTGGTGGATCAGGACTATAACAAACATCTCCAGGTAGGAAACGATCTCTTGGCTCCTCATATCCACCAGTTCCTTCCAAAAATATAGTAATGTGCTGGACTAAGTGAGGTTTTTATAGAACTATGACAAGGAATTTCTCCCCAGGAAATTACACACTAGGTTAGTCTTCTTTCTCCTGTACTTGCTTTTCCATTAGTCTGATAGTAAGAACTGGAAACTTTCATAATGAGCTAGGGCCAAACCTTCTTAATGGGTTGACTTTATTGGCTATACAACAGTTAAGAGAAGGCAGAAAGCAACCTTGGACTACAAGTCTGCAACTAATTCCACCGTACTTTTAAAACTTAGAGGGAACAGAAGTCTCCATTAACTGGAAAGTGTGTTAATGAGAAACTCTCTTTTCTTCAGACTCTTCCAGTACATATCACCATTATACACATAGTTTGGAATGATGATGGAACACTCTTGCCTTAACAGTCTCCAAGCAAATTAGACATTGGCCTCTCCTGGACTGCTGGATCTATCTTCATAATAGTGTGTACCTAGAAGCGACATACTGGGGAGTGCAGTTTAGAAATAGTTTGCTCAGAAATTATTTGTATTACAACAGTGCCCAGAGGCCCCAGCATGCTAAGCACTGTACTAACATATAGCCAGAAGCAAACTTTTGCCTAAAAAGTTTTACAGCGTATATTAACCTTGTAAAAAGAGAAGCTGTAGAGATTTCTTGGATGAAACAAACCTGCTGTAGATGTTTTTCCTCAAAGCTGTGTATTCTCTGAAGTTTGTTCCCCTGAAATTTCCTCCCCTGAAACATATGGAAAGGCACTTCCTGATCATTCATCTGTTGTCTTGTCAATGAAGTGATGGTTTTCTGCGTGACTATGAAACTCAAGAATTGAAAGCTTTTCAAGACATTGTACCAGACCAAAACCATTAATCTGATGAAGTGGGTATTGCTCACAAAAGCTTATGCCCTAATAATTGTTAGTCTCTGAAGTGTCACAGGCTTCCTTTTTTTGTTTTTTGCAGACACAGACTAACATGGCTACCCCCGAGACTTCTCAAACTTGCTATGTTAGCCCTCATATCTCCTTTCAAAATTCTGATAGCTGCTTCCAGATCAAAGGGAAGGACCAGTGTCTGACACTGGCTATGAAGTTCATCTAGACTAAATACAAGACATTTCTGCTCTAGGTAAATGGAAAAAAGCATAAGAAAAGATGATGTCCTGGGTCCAATTTTGCAAAGACTCAGTTTCCACTTTAAGTTTTATTTGCCTTTAACTGATTTGGATGTTTTAATCTGAGTATTACCCAAAAACTTCTTCAGTTTTATGGAAGAAGAAAATGAACCTAATCCCTAGTGTACAGCTGCAAGATGGAACAAGTGACTAATTGCAGAGCTTTTAATGGGCAGCAAAATATCATTTTCTGAATTAAGTGTACAAAAATGATTACCACAAGTATTATAGAGTATTCTCTCTCCACCCCTGAAAAGTTAAATTACATCTTTAAACCTGCTTCCTTGTGTACCTTAAAGAAAGGAACAGTCTATATATCCCTAGCTGTAATATAAATGTAACTTTTTAGCAACTACTACACTACAGCAGATGTTTCAATTAGCCCATGCCACAGACACAAACTCTTGAAGATCCTGAAGTATTCTTCCTTCTGTTTAGAATACCAGATTCCACTTGCCACATAACACCTTGTACTGCATGGATGACAGCTGACAATCACACAGATTGTCTTTAATTTTTTGGGTACGGAGATATATAAGAAGAACATGTATTGAGATATATCTTCAGGGAAAATTTGATCACCCAGGTCTAATATTATTCCCAAGACACCAATATCATTTGTGTTTGTATGTTGTTTGCACAAAAACATCACACAACCTGACTGATTACTTCCTATATGTGGCAGATGTGATTTAAAAGCATTCTTAAACAAGCTTCAGGGAATGCAGTTTTTGTCCTAGGTGTTTACAGTAAGAAAACAAATTGATTGTTTTATTAGAACTAGGAAAGTTGAGATGGGAACTGAAAATAGCCAGAAAACCAATTAGCTACAGGAAGGTTGTCTATAATGGTTGAGAGGAAAAAATATGGAAGAAGGATCTAGTCCCACAATGGCAAAATGAGAACAAGAGATCAAGCAGAAATACTGGAAAGGAAATGTTCCTTTCTGCACTCTGAAGAGCTGCTAACTGTCCTTTGTCAATATTCTACAGCAGGAAGAAGGAACAGGACTCCAGCTGGCGGTCAAGACATTCCCTGGAGGTTTTCTGTGCAAGGGTAGAAAGGACTTTTTCGGAGAAAAGGTTCACCCTTCACATTTACTTTCAAAAAAGCAAGAAACTTACTTAGGAACAGGGGCGCTTGTATTTGAAGCATACCAAATAGAAGGTGACAGAGCATTTTTTACTTGCTACTAGAAAGGAACTCAAGAGAAGGGACTTAGATTAGCATTTTGAACAAAAAGATAAAGGTTTAAATCAGTTTTGTACAAATCCATGTCCTCCAATGTGAAAAATCTCAAACTGAGAAATCTGAGTCTCCCACCAAGGTTTATACATGCTCATGCCAGCAACATCCAAAGTGTGATTTCCTGTAGCTCCAGCTGCTGGTCTATGTAAGTAATCACTCCAACTATAGCTTAGATCGAGAGTGCTTCTTCATCTGGGTCTGCGTCAAAAGATGCCAATAGGTGATCCACATTTCTTGTTGGAAATATGCTCAGACTAGCTCACGTTACTCTTTTTCCTACCCTCTGTATGAAGATGCTCCCACATGCATCAGTCTATACAAAGAGTTCACAATCTAGTCCCTAGTGCTGATGCATATAGGAAGTCCCTTTTTCTTCTATTTTCTGAATGTGTGATACAACTAGAAACCTGAGAAAGAAGCTGAGGATGTCAACGTTGCAGCACAAAATTCTGGATTCACAGTTGGTTATACTTGCCTGATTGACATTCAAAGAGTGGGTAAAACTCTTCATCTGAATTGATGAATAGGAGATACACATTGTACCACTTATATTAAAATTAATAGATGTGTTCATGAAAATCCAACTATCAAAATTCAGTTTCAACATTTTTAAAGTGACCTGTAACTTGTTAAACAATTGCTAAATACAGTAGTAGAACTAGAAGTCTGTTTCTGTCAGGCCCTCATAACTGAAAACAGCCCATCCTGCTCCTCCAAAAATCTGAAGAGTTAGCTGCAGCAAGATTTTTATGCAATGCATTTACATGGAACAAAACCTCAGAGCAAAGTACCTGATGGAAAATCCATACACTAATCTGATTTTCAGCCAGATACGGTGTCACCCTGTGACTAGGAAAGCAGAAAACAAATTCTGTTAAATCTTAAATTAAAAATTATTTCTGATCATTCCCTATGATTTAATCTTCTCATTGCTTCTAGTAAAGTGTACCTGCACTGTTATTTTTACACTATCTGCCAAAAAATGGGTCTAGCATTTAGTAACCCCCCCTCTTAAAAAATAAGAATTTATTTAATGGGCTCACGTACATTTGGAGTAGGTTTGGACTTACAACATTACAAAATACATTGTGGTTTTAGGATAAATAAGGTATCACACAAAAGATTTACACAAAACACTAGAAAGATTTAAGAACAAAACAGGCTTATGATAGTGGAACTCTAAGATTCCAAGGTCACCTTCCCTCCTAACTTTTCTGTTTCCTCAATGTCAGGCACTTGAATGTATGTCTGTGTTCTTTTACTAATCACTTTTCCTAAGAGATGATCAAGGTGAACAACCAATCTGTTTTTAATTAAACTATAGTGCATACACTCCCTCTCTGTCTCCCTACAATAGACACAGGGAGCCTAGACTGACCTCCCCAATTAACAGAATTGGAGCCTCATCCCAGTAGACTCCTTGCACTGCAAGAGTCAGGAACATTTGAGACAGCTGCCTGAAGAGACTGGGGCAGACAATGCAGGAGTGAGTAGAATCTGACCCGGCACTGTCCCACGGCTCCAGCAGGAGCCTGGGACAAGAACCCTGCCTACTGCGCCCCACATGCCACTCCAATCGGTTGGGTATAGGGGCCATGTGCATCTCTGCACACCCCTGGGAAGGAGGGGGCTTCATGTGCTGCCCCTACCCGGAGCACAATCTTGCAGCTCCCACTGGCTACAAACCAGCCAATGGGAGCTGTCTGGGCCATGCTTGCAATGCAGGCAACATGTGGAGAGTTCAAGGGGTGTGCAGCTTGCAGAGATGCACATGGTCCCCACAGCCAGCCATTTGGAGTGGCGTAGCAGGCAGGCAGCCTACCTGAGGATCCTGCTGGCTGGGAGCCAACTAAGCCAATACCTGGGGCCTCACCCCCTCCCACATACCCAACTGCATGTCCTCCTACACCCCTCACCCAGGTGAGAATCCTCTCGTGCACCCAAACTCCCTCCCTGACCCTGCACTCTCTCCTGCACCAGGTCACACCCAGTGTTCCAGTGCTCTAAGCTCAGAGGCTCAGAGCAGGGTTGATTAATCACCAGTGAAGCTGTGCTAGAGAGAACACTGGTCACATCCCCTCCTTCACCAGAACTCCCTCCCAGACCCTACACCCAGTCACCTACCGCAAGCTGCCTTCTGCACGCAACCTCCATCCCAGACCCCACACCTCCTCCATTAATATCACAGAAGAGTGTGGACCTTGATCACTTACCAAATTTTTGGAGTAGCCCCCCATCAAAAATCATTGCCCATCTCTGCAATAGAGTGGTGCACCTAAAAAGGAACCTAAAGGGGAAGACTCTTCCTTCCAAAGACAGAGGAACAGTGGCCTTCTGACTGAAGCACATGTGCTCCCTTTCCTTAGGAACTTGGAGAATTTTGAGTGTAGGAGGAGAAACAAACTACTCCTGCATGGGCATGGAGAGAGAAATGGAGAGGGCTGGGCAAATGTAACCAACCACAACTGGAAAGTTGGACTCCCCTAGGAATGGGAGGATCAATCCCTCCAAAACAGTCAAAAGAAGGCATGTGTCATGATGCAGGCAAGCCAGGTGTGGGCTCAAAACTACTAACTCCAGTCCTCAGTGCTAAATTCCCAAAGCTCCCACTGAATATGGATTACTGTGTTCCCCACCCTGCTGACGTTTGGTCAAGGGCAAAGGATGGGAGGCAGAGCTTCCAAGAATGCCCATCTCAGAATTCATCTCTTTGCTCTGGACAAATCTTAACATGTTCAGAGAAAGAGGGTCGCTGTATGCAAGAGACCGTAGGAAGGACAAGAGACTCAGGCTCCATCTCACCTCTGAGTGGCAGATCAGAAGTCTGCTTGGAGGGAGTGCAGCAAGTTCACTGACACTGATGCAGCAGCAGTGAGAGAATGTTCAGGGATCTTGTGGTAACACCAGGAGCGGCCCGTGAGCCTAGGCAGACTAGGCGGTCGCCCAGGGCGGTGCCAGCCCGGTCGCCCGATGATGACATCACGGCCATTGATGGCCGTGCAGGCGGGGAGCCGATCACACCTTCTGCCTGGGGCGCCAGCTGCTACAGCCGGCCTCAGGCCGCTCCTGGGTAACACTACCAGACCACTGGGTCCATGGCAGAGCCTCACACTCACTTCTCCACTGCCTCCTATTGCTTCTGAGGGGGGATGTTTCTTCTCCCATTCCCAGCTTTGAACTGAGGCTGTCCGGTCTAAAAAACTTACCAGAAAAATCCAAGCAGTCTCTCCCAATCTTGGAGACAGAAGGGGTGTTTCTTCCCCCCACAACCTCTAAAACTGTTCCAAATTTGCTGGGGAAAGAAATACAGCCTCCTATATAGTTGGCTCTTTTGAGGAGAGAAGCCTTCTCCCAATCTATACCAGATGGTGGAGGCAAAGAGGAGAAGAACGCTACCACTACTGTGTATTACATGAATAGTAGATTAAATTGCACTATGTCTGTTTTACCCTTATGTTGACTCTGACTCCTGTCTCATCTTGAAACTGTAGCCTGTGATTTCTACGGGGGGGTCTAAAGGAATGTGTCATCTAACTGTCACTGAAAGTTAATTAGATACAAGCACCTAACTCCCTTTGGATCCTTTCAAAGCCCTAGACAAACAATTTGGATTAGAGACCATCACAGTTGTTACATGTGCGCACAGCACAGTGGTGCAGATCACTTATTAGGGCATCAAGGGACTAATGCAACACTAAATTTGATCTTAGCTGTAAATACTTTTATGGCAGGTGACATCAGTAATGAAATCCACACTTTAATGTTTTATACAAATTTTTAACAAAATGTATGTGATCTAAGCTATTCAATTCCTTACAATCCAGCTTTTTAACTGAACCCTGTAAAATCTAAAAAGCCAGCTGGCTCACAATGCTGATACAGAGAAAGCTTCACCACAAAGTGCCATTAAAGACCCTTTTTAGTTCAGTGTACATCAAATCTTCTTCCAGTGTTTACAAATAAACTACTGATCTACATTATTCTCTTTCAGCTGTCTTTAAAGGAAATAACAGAAGGCCAGACTGGGTCAGACCAAAGGTTCATCTAGCCCAGTGTCCTGTCCTCTGACAGCAGCCAATGCCAAGGGCTTCAGAGGAAATAAACAGAACAGGTAATCAATCAATCAAGTGATCAATCCCAAGTCGTCCATTTCCAGCCTCTGGCAAACCAGGTTAGGGACACCATCTGTGCCCTTCCTTCCTAATAGACATTGGTGGGCCTGTGAATTTATGAATTTATCTAGGTTTTTTTAAACTCTGTTATAGACTTGAACTATTGATGCTGCAGTGTAGCCCAAACATAGCTACACACACTCAGCTTTTTAAAAGGATCTGGATTGACTGTCAGCAGAAAACCTAGTAGTAACAGACATTTAGTTCTGTTTAAACTCAAATGCTCAAATATTGCTTCAGTGAAGATGCAAACATAATTAGCAGTTAAATTTCTTTGTGGATTTAACTAACAGTTTTTTGTAAAAATCTATGTTTCTGCAACAGTGTTTAGTTGTTGCTCTGCCTTTGAACCAGATTCATTATTAAGAACGGAGTTAAAATCTCTTGCATTTTAAAATCTCTTGAATCAAACACTTAAAATTACCACTTTTTATAACTGTAAAGACTTGCCAGTTCCACAGTACACAATTAAATCCACAGACTCAGATAAAATGTCTGGCAAAACATGAATGGTGATCAGTGCTGTAAAGTTTCTCCCCCAGATTTAAACCTTTCAGTGCCCAACCAGGAAGTCTGTTTACTACACTATGCACTTCTGGGAAATATTTTTTATAGAAGGTTAATGCACATGAATCTACAGAAAAAAAGCTGCATAATGCAGCTGCCAGCACACCCACTTCAAACATTAATTTTCTAGAACATCACCTGAAGCTCTACATACCTTCTCTCAAACGTAATATAATAGAAAGATTACAGGGATCCAATTTTTCAAAAAATCTCAGCCCATTAGGGAAGAGGTATAAGCCATAGGCACAATCATTGATTTGCCTTTTTGCTAAATTGAAGATGCTTACTAGTCTATACGGCTAACTAAAGAGTTTCTGCCTTGCAAGCCAGCACTGTGCCACACTCACAAACCAAAATGGTATCTTTAGCAATGGACTAACTCAACCTTATTTTTTTAAGAACAGAAATCAATAAGGGGAGGCCTTGTGATTTAAGTTTAAAATATTCTGCATTACATGATCTTAATGTTTTGTAAATAACACAATTTAAGTATCATGTCCCACACTTTCTTCAAGATGACATTTTATAAAAAGAAATGTGCTTAATGCTAAACTTAATTTAAATCTGACATTTTTGATAAATACAAAAATCATATTGACTAGTCAGTTATATTAATGTTTTAACATGCAATAAAATGATTACAGCACATGCAACAATAGAAAATATCTCATTGTGGTTTAATACTGAGAGCTTCTTCAGGCCATACAAAGGAAAACATGGTATTTTTCTTCCTAAATCCTGATAAAAGACTAAAGGCCAAAATACCACCTCATATTCTATCCTAGGTGGAATTCATTGTTTTACACACATTGATTCAGTTCAGAATTGGTGCTTACATCATCTGAAGACAGAGTGCATTCTAGGAGTTAATACATGCTTATATTGTTGAAGTAGAAAAAACACAGAATTAAATTTCTTGCTTTTACAAATATTATGCATGTAATGATTAAAGTAAAATTTATTGTAATGTATATCACTTAGTTTTATTGTTAGAAGTCTCCTAGAATGACCTCATTTTTTTCATTATAGTCTCAAACGCCAAACTTTGCCAGCACTGTTCATGTTGGCCAGAATACTACACATCTTAAGGCTATAACTGAACAAAGTGGAATGCTTACCAGCAGCAACTACAGCTGGAGGAGGCGAACCTGCCTCACCACCACTTGTTTGGCTCATGGATGCTACAGATGTTTCTCTGGAGGGTGGTAACTGCAACTCCTTTGGGAGGAGGTCATAGACAGATTCTGAGAGATGAAAAAAAGGAGAAAAGGGGTTTAAACAAACAGATCAACTGTAGTGTTTTGTAAACATAGATTATTTTCACAATTTTTAGCCTTGGAATACGGACCAGTGGCGTGGCATCTCAAGAAGCTTCATAGGAAGTTGCACAGAAAACATCTTGGAGATCACTACCCAACTTGATTAAAAAAATTAAACTTAAAATATACAAGTTTTCGAGACTGAGCAAATTTGCATTTTCTCTTTCAAGATACAAAGTGACCACCTATGAACCTGAAACACAGACTGGTGCCTTTGAAATAATGCAGAGGATGAAACCCAGAACAAATTACCTGACATCTGGAGATAAAACTACTCTCAGTTTTCAGGCAGTGGAAATAGCTTCAAGTGGAGAATAGATTAAGTTACAGGAAATAATGTAAAACATTCCTATTTAATAGATTTTTTTTCACCATAATCAGAATTATGGTCACCACATGTCACCCCTTCCCCACTTCTCCAAAAAGAAATGTGTCCCAAATAAAGATACTATAAACTGAAAAAGTATCGGAAAAGAGGAAGAACTTCTAGAGATGCTGCTATTGGTAATCGCTTTATGTGGGAAGGCCCTCAGACCCCACGGTAATGTATGGCAGTATAAATATTTAAGCATTTTTGTGAATGTATCTGTTGTGGAACAGCTATGGTTGATGCATACTAGATGCCTGACATGAAACCATCACAGCAAAGTTTAAGATGTTAAGTCAAAGTTAACACCACATTCACTCTTCTTTCCCATGTTTACTGCTGATTCTTTCCCATGTTTACTGTGGATAAGGGAGAAGCGGTGGATGTGGTATACCTAGACTTTAGTAAGGTCTCGCATGATATTCTTATCAATAAACTAGGTAAATACAACTTAGATGGGGCTACTATAAGTTGGGTGCATAACTGGCTGGATAACCGTACTCAGAGAGTAGTTATTAATGGTTCACGATCCTGCTGGAAAGGCATAACAAGTGGGGTTCTGCAGGGGTCTGTTTTGGGACCGGCTCTGTTCAATATCTTCATCAACGATTTAGATATTGGTATAGAAAGTACGCTTATTAAGTTTGCAGATGACACCAAACTGGGAGGGGTTGCAACTAATCTGCAGGATAGGGTCATAATTCAAAATGACCTGGACAAATTGGAGAAATAGTCTGAAGTAAACAGCATGAAGTTTAATAAAGACAAATGCAAAGTGCCCCACTTAGGAAGGAACAATCAGTTTCATACATATAGAATGGGAAGCGACTGTCTGGGAAGGAGTACGGCAGAAAGGGCTCTAGGGGTTATAGTGGACCACAAGTTGAATATGAGTCAGTAGTGTGATGCCGTTGCAAAGAAAGCAAATATGATTCTGGGATACATTAACAGGTGTGTTGTGAGCAAGACACGAGAAGTCATTCTTCCGCTCTGCTCTGCGCTGGTTAGGCCTCAATTGGAGTAGTGTGTTCAGTTCTGGCCACCGCATTTCAAGAAAGATGTGGAGAAATTGGAGAGCAACAAGAATGATTAAAGGTCTAGAGAACATGCCCTATGAGGGAAGGCTGAAGGAATTAGGTTTGTTTAGTTTAGAAAAGAGAAGATTGAGGGGGGACATGATAGAAGTTTTCAGGTATCTAAAAGGGTGTCATAAGGAAGAGGGAGAAAAGCAATGGGCTTAAACTGCAGCAAGGGAGGTTTAAGTTGGACATTAGGAAAAAGTTCCTAACTGTCAGAGTAGTCAAACACTGGAATAAATTGCCGAGGGAGGTTGTGGAATCTCCATCTGTGGAGATATTTAAGAGTAGGTTAGTCTATCAGGGATGGTCTAGACAGTATTTGGTCCTGCCATGAGGGCAAGGGCCTGGACTCGATGACCTCTCGAGGTCCCTTCCAGTCCTAGTATTCTATGATTCTATGATTCAAAGGTCAACTATTCACTTATGATCACGCGATTATTTAAAATGAGCCTCACAATAAAAGCTGCCATTGCATTCAGACAATAAGAATATGCTATCAATCTACATAACAGTTTCAGAGAGGTAGCCATGTTATTCTGAAAACTTTAACAAAACAAAAAAGGCTTAAAAAGCAAGTGGTCCTGTAGCACCTTAGACACTAACAAAAAATATAAATTGTATCATGAGCTTTTCTGGGCACTTCTTCAGAACCCACTTCTTCAGATAAATATGGAGCAAGAGGCACAGAGGGTCAAATATAAAGCAGAAAAAGAGGGGAGAGGAGAAGGAGAAAAAACCCCACCAGCAATGAAAGTGTCTGTGCTAAATAAGGCTAATAGAGTAGGCTGTGACTGTCTGATATATTCAACACCCAAATGACATTAAAAGTAACAGCCCATCCAAAAAATGTCTTTTTTTAGTCCCTGGCTCAATGTGTCAAATTTGCATATCAAAGCCAGTTCCTCAGTTTCTCTCTCTAGTTGGTTCCTGAAATTATTCAGTAAGAGAATGGCCACTTTTAATCCATCAGTTAGTGTCCTGGCAAGTTAAAATGCTCACCAACTAGTTTGTGTGTTACCATTCCAAGTATATGATTTGCATCCATTAATCCCTTGTCGCTGAGACTACCCAGTTTGGCCAATACACATGGCAGTGGGTCATTGCTGGTACTTGATGGCATAGATCACATTGGTGGATGTGGTGGCTTATGTGGATAAGTCCTGTCGCTTGTATAGATTTGCGGACAGAGTTGGCACCCAGGTTTATTGTAGGGGTGGGTTCCTGGGTGAGTGTGTCTGAGGTGTGATGCATGGTTGCTGGAAATAATTTGTTTCCGGTTAGGAGGCTCTCTGTAGGTGAGGACTGGCCTGTCTACCAAGGCCTGTGAGAGTGAGGAGTCATTTTCCAGGACAGGTTGTAGATTGTTAATGATGTATTGGGGGCCATAGATGATGACAAGTGGCGTTCTATTATTTTGTTTGTTGGGCCTATCTTGAAGAAGCTGATGCCTGGGTACTTGTCTGGCTCTGTCAATCTGTTTGTTACTTCCCCGGGTGGGTATTTTAGTTTTAAGAATGCCTGATAGAAATCCTGTAGGTATTTGTCTCTGTCTGTGGGATTGGAGTAAATCCAGTAATATCTTAGGGCCTGGCCGTAAACAATTGATCAGGTGATGTGTCCAGGATGGAAGACAGGCCCTAAGAGCTGCTGCAGCTCTGTGCTGGGACAGGCAGGAAGAGGTGGTACTCTATGCACCCGCCCAGAGCTCTGTCAGATGGCATTTAATTTAATAATCATGTAACTGCACCAAATCTTATAGGTTACGTGATTTTCAATGGTCCCAGGGGGTAGGGCTGGCAGCCAGTGAATTCCCGGCCCAGCTCCCAGGGAACCCCCTGCCACAAGAGGGATGGCAGCAGCCTCTGTCTGCAGGAGGCCCAAGACCACTGTGGACAGGGCTGCTCCGGCATCCTACCTACCTGCCCTCCCTCTCCCCCGCCATGCTGCTGCCTCTGATGCAGAGGCAAACAGAAAAGGTACAGAATCACCAAATCAAGTACAGTCCTCAAAACTGACATAACTGAGTCAATATAGTCAGGTCAAGGAGAAGAATTTCTCCCTCCTCCTTGTAACAAACTTTTAGATACTTGGAAAACATATGTCCCCCTCAGTCTTCTCATCTCCAGACTCTAAACAAAGGGTGAAAAATTGTGAACACAAAAAGGGAAAGGGGAAGAGAAGTAGCTGCTGCACCTAAGGAAATACGGGAGGGAGGGAGAGAAATAAGAGGAAAAAAAAGTTGGTATCAAACCTAAGATAAGACACAGCAAGAGAGATGTGGGGGAACACAAAAAAGGGTTACAATAAAAGTGATAGTAGGAGAGGAAGAACATGCAGTACATAAGAACAGCCATAATGGGTCAGACCAACGGTCCATCTAGCCCAGTATCCTGTCTGCCAACAGCAGCCAATGCCAGATGCTCCAGAGGGAGGGAACACAACAGGTAATCCTCACATGATCCCTCTCGTTACCCATCTCCAGAGAAACAGAGGCTAGGGACACCATTCCTTCTCATCCTGGCTAATAGCCATTGATGAACCTAATCTTCATGAATCTAACTCTTTTTTTAACCCTGTTAAGGTCCTAGCCTTCATCACATCCTCAGGCAAGGAGTTCCAGTTCCAGGAGTAAAAGGAGTGAGCAAAATAGAACAACAGAGAGGAGAATATAACAGAAAAACAGCAGCAAATGTGATGATTATGAAGGAATAAGATACAGAAAGTCACTGGAACATTAGAAAAAAATTAGCAAAAATATAATGATAAAGGAACAAGGTATTTGATGAAAAGGTAGAAAATGAAGAAAATAATGAAAACGGAAAAAATCTGAATGTTAGTAATTTTATGGATATTGCAGTTCATTTGTGGGAAGACCTCTCAGCGCTATTTACTTGGGAAAGGACAGGACAGCTCCTACTTAAGTTAGACAAAATACTAATTGTTCCGATAGCTACCTATAGTACATATTATATCTGACATTCTGGTCTTTCCTCTTGACTATTTTGATAGGTCTTCATTGTGGACAGTGATCAGACAGTTTGGCATAGAGAAAGTCTCTTTCTCCTCCCAGGAAACCTTGTATCTTTACTACTGTATTTAGGAATCCATAGAGAAGCAATATCTAAATTTGTGACAGTGCAAAATAAAGAGATAACGTTTTTAACACCTGTCACAAAGGGAGTTCTGATTTTTAAGGAGAACAGAAAAAAGGTAGAGGTTAAACCTCTAAAATCCAACACTCTCTAATCCAGCAACATCTGTAGTCCAGGAGCAAGACCACAGATAATGCTAGACCAGAGAGCCCTGGCTGGCAGTAGGAAGTGCAGCCCCAATGGCAGTGAGGCCAACATGGTGGAGAGCACAGCCCCAGCAATGGTTGTGGCAGGAAGCATGGTCCTAGCGAGGAGTACAGTCCCGTCCAGGCCAATGGCAATAAGACCAGTGTCCAGGAGCGTAATACCAGCTGGTTGGGGGCCTG